ACATGGATGAACCTGGAAACCATCATTCTCAGCAAACTGACACAAGAGCAGAAAATCAAACACCGCATGTTCTCACTCACAGGCAGGTGTTGAACAATGAGAACACATGGACACAGGGAGGGGAGCACTACACACTGGGGTCTGTTGGGAAGAGGTGGGGGTGGGAGAGTGGGGGGTGGGGAGTTGGGGAGAGATAGCATGGGGAGAATGCCAGATATAGGTGAAGGGGAGGAAGGCAGCAAATCACACTGCCATGTGTGTACCTATGCAACAATCTTGCATGTTCTTCACATGTACTCCAAAACCTAAAATGCAATAAAAAATAATAATAATAATAATAAATGCTAGGAGAAAAAAATGTGGAGGAACTTAAAAGAAAGCCCATTGTAAACATTATCTTTCATTCATTCTGCTATCAATAACCCCTCTTTCCTCTTTCCCAAATGTAATAACATATGGAAATATATTTTCCAAAGCACAGTTCTACTTTGATTCCTTAAAGTTTTTTGCATTTTAAGTGCTTTCCTTTTTGCAATGCTGGGGACAAAGGAAGACAGGAATGTTAAGAGAACCAAATTCCAATTACCTTGGGAATTAATGTCTTAGAGGGAGTCACTGCCCTTTAATCAGTTGTAAAGAGACTTTCAACTGTTAATCAAGTCTGCTAATAGAGGCTCACATGTTCAATAGAAAATAGTAGGGCCAAGAGGGAAGTGCAATGAGAAAATGTAAGTAAACACAGTTAATGGTGGTAATGCGTGCTAATAGGGCCATAATAATAAAAGCAACAGATCTTGACTGTACAAAATTCTATTTGATTCTCTCCAATCAGAAACTCAGTGGATGTTATGAATATAGTTCTTTTTCTTGGTTTAAAAACATTATAGTAACCAAAGAGAAATAAATAGTTCAGTATGACCACACTGATTCATATTAACTGGGCTAAGAGTCAACTTGTTTTAGCAGAGGCTGAATTATAAAATTACTTTTAAAATAAAGTTTGCAATAATACAGTCTTATACTAGTATAGCAGAATGTAACCCAGACGTTGTTTTGTAGCTGAATATGAGGCTAAAATTAGCACAGCAAAAATTTCTATCTTGGTTCCTCCCAAAGTACTTGAAAGTCCTGTAAGAACGTTTAATCCCTAAAGTATTTTAAGCATCTCTTTTTCAATTATACATTGTTTCTGAAGAAAGGGTTTATTACAGAAAAACCAAACATCTGCTCAGACCCCTTCACCAATAACTAATTCCTGATTGATGAAATCTAAATTCAATAAATCACACTATATTACAATAAACCTTTTGGAGCTTTATAATCTGGTGACATGAAGAGTATCTGCTCTAATTACCATCTTGTGACTAGCTCAATATGATTTCCATGAAGAGGCTGGCCTTTCTGAGTTGCTACCTAAAATTGTATGACATATTTGAAGTTCTCATAGTGAAAATAACAAGTTTTAGTCTTATTTTCTTTACATGCTTTTTCTTGGCCTGTCCTTTCTTTCCTCTCAACCCATCATTATCATGGCTAAAAAGAACATCTCATCTCCAAATAACAGCAATTGTTAAAAATTAGATATTATAAGTATAGTAGGGGAGCTTACTAGGAGGATTTCCTTTATAAAAATATATTAAATAAAAATATAATCAACACAAATTACACAAACAGAATTAGGATTTCTCTTCTACTGCCTTTTTTTGTTTGTTTGTTTTTGAGACAGTCTCACTCTGTCACCCAGGCTGGAGTGCAGTGGCACCATCTCAGCTCACTGCAACCTCCGCCTCCCAGGTTCAAGAGATTCTCCTGACTCAACCTCCAGAGTAGCTGGGATTGAGGTGTATGCCATCATGCCCAGCTAATTTTTTGTATTTTTAGCAGAGATGGGGTTTCACCATGTTAGCCAGGATAGTGTCGATCTCCTGACCTCATGATCCACCCACCTCAGCTTCCCAAAGTGCTGTGATTACAGATGTGAGCCACTGCGCCTGGCCTCTTCTACCACTTTCTACAAGCAGAGGAATAGCACCTATATTCCTCTTACAATCCCCAGTGTTTTAATACAGCTCAATAAATAAAGGAAACAATGTGGCATAATGAAAAGAAGGCTGACATGGGAGTCCAAAAAACCCATGCCACTTTTCAACAAGTAACTTAAACTTTCTAAGTCTCCATTTCCTCAACTGTGAAAGATAGATAATAACATCTATCTTTTAGGGATATTTTAAGGATTAAAAATAATGCAAATAAAGCATCGGCAAACAAAAGGTACTGAATAAATGATACCTCTAATTATCACTAACAAAATATCACTTGGACAATTGAGAATGTATTTCACAATCTTACAGTTCTGAAAATAGGGGGCACAGGAGTGAGGCTTCATCAGATTCTAATGCCCTAGTTACTCCATCCTTATTTACTCTTCACTGATTAACTTTGTGATTTAGTTGCCTAATCTACTACCACCACTTCCAATTGCTCACCATCAATTTATTCCTTAACCCCTTTTACAGTATAAATTTGGGTCTCATCATCTACTCTCCATGACCTTATAAATGACAATTCTATCAGCTCTTTCTCTATGGCCATTCTTTTTCTGTAACCTGAAGCAAGTGTCTTCCTTTCTGAAACTCTACTTCTTGACCTCACTGACTTGAATATTCTAGTTCTATCACCCATGTAACCATTCTTCCAATTTTCTACATATCTCCAACAATCTATTCGAATTACACATTTTTAACTTTCCTTCTTCCCCCATCCACTTATTATTATTATTTTTTAATGGAGTTTCGCTCTTGTCGCCCAGGCTGGAAAGTACAGTGGTGTGATTTCAGCTTACTGAAACCTCCACCTCCCAGGCTCGAGTGATTCTCCTGCCTCAGCCTCCTGAGTAGCTGGGATTACAGGTATGTGGCACCATGCCCAGCTAATTTTTTTTTAATATATATTTTTAGTGGAGATGGGGTTTCTCCATGTTGGTGAGGAAGGTCTTGAACTCCTGACCTCAGGTGATCCGCCTGCCTCAGCCTCCCAAAAGTGCTGGGATTACAGGCGTGAGCCACAGCTCCATACCCCATTTCTGTAATATTTTCATCTTCCTCTCCATTTCCCTATCAGGACTCACTTGAAGTTTCATTATTTTCCAAAATAGTCTCTCCCTCTTCTTAACTACTAATGTGTGCACTGCTGTGGGGGCTATTCGTCACCTTGTCCACTACTGTGACATCTACTGATTATCAAATCAACAGGAACTTTGAAATTTAGAACAAAAGAGCATATATATGTCTGACAGGTTTAAGAGGTTCAGACTGTACCCACAGAAAGGGCATGGGGAGTGCAGTCTGGGTGTGCTGATTATAACCAAAACCCTAACTAAATTAATTAAATATTAATTTACATTTAAATGGGGGGAAGAGAAGAGTTCAAAAAGATAAGTATAGAGTTTACAATTGCTTTCCCAGTTTAAGCACTTTTAAGGTTTACATTACTCTCCTAAATTTCCAAGCCTATACATCACTCAACATAAGAGTAAATATAAATATTCCAGTAACTAAAACCTAATTTTTATGGTACAGTTTAATAATGCATATACAATGTTTTCATTAAGTGAAGTACAAATGACTGAATAAATTCTGTGTGTTTATATGAGAAAGAAACTAACGTTTGTCAACTAATCAAAAGACTGTAAGAAAAAAATTAAAAAACAAAAAGAAATTGTTTCCTATGATCCATGTTAGAGGAAGTAAAAAGAAGAAAAAAAAATCTTTGTTCAAAAAAACACACACCAAACAAATATTATTTAACATTACTACTAAAAAGCTACCCTGATACAAGGCTCACAACAAAAGTAATTGAAACTAAAATGGAAAAGTACTGTATTTCCAAAATTCTTTGATCTCTTATATGTGATACACTTCACATAACATTCTTTACAAGGTACAAACAGGATTCAGGAATGCAAATTGATCTTGAACACTCAACAAATTAAAATGTGAATTATATTAAGTGCCTTATAAGAAAAACAATTTTAAGTTACCTGACCCTATTCCACCTCACTCCAAGATCACAGTATTTATTAAAATAGCAAAAGATACGACACATCAACAAAGAACAGACCAGTGATAATTATAATAGGGTTACCAAAAATTAAAACTAAGTGAGCAAAGAGGAAGAATACTTAATGAGATGCTCAAATAAAATTATTAAATTTACTTCTCAGTAATATGGGGTGAAGAAAACGTCTTAATTAGGAAAAACATTAGGGTACTGATTAGAAAACATGGGCTATTACATCAGATAGGAATTGAGTTTAAACTCTGTATACATTATAGACGGTGAACAACTGTCTTAACCTCTCAGTCTCAGTTTATCTGTAGAATAGAAATAATAATCCTTACCTTATAAAGCTATACAGGGATTAAATAAAATTAATTATGCAAAATACTTAGTACTTAAGCACATATTAAGATCTTTATAAATTGTATTCAGCCCAAAAAGATCAGACATTTTTAGAGCCAAACTATTTCAAATCTTCCAAGGAAGAGATTAATTGCCAGAACATATACAAACATGGAAAGCTTGTCTCTCAGTCTCTCTTTTTACGAGGCAAACATATTCAGAAATCAAAACCTTAAAAAGGTAATACAAAAGGAACACTAAAGATCAATCTCATACAGCAAATCAAATATAACACTACTTTAAAGAGATATACTATTATCAAGTTGCCTTTATCCCTAAGACAGCAGTTGTTTGATGAAATCTACTTGGAAATCTTGTAACACAATTCATCAACCAGCATGTAAAAGAAGGAAAACTATATGATCATCTCAAGGTATATTAAAAGTGCATGTGATCAAACTGAATATCTATCTCAGTTCCCACTGAAAAGGCATAGAAAGCTATTTCTTTAACATACCATTAACAAAAATTTTGAAAACTCAACTATGAAACCCTAAAGGCATTTCCATTTAAATGAGAAATAATCCAAGGATGCTCACTGTTCACCGCTATAATATGACTCAACATTATTCTAGAAGTTCTGATCAAAGTCCTAAGAAAATGAAACAAGAATTAAATTTTGGAAAGAAGACAAAATCATCATCATTTACAGATGCTATATAATTGAGTTACTACAAAACCCAATAAAAACCATCAGAATTAAGTTTCATAAGATGACCAATTAGAAAACAGCATATGAGAATCAGCAATCTTTCTATGTTCCATCAGGTACATCTAATATTCTTTATAAAATAATGAAAAAAGTTCTGTTCCCAATAGGATCAATAAGTTTTAAAATATCAAAAATAACACTTAATAATGGGCAGAACTCACATGAAGAAAACTACAAACTTTAAAATATGTGAAGAAAACTCAACACTACATCTTTGAGTCATAAAAGGTGACTTCAATAAAAGAAGATAACATTGTAGTAATAGAGATATTACAACTCTCCTGAGAAAATTAGGTCAGATATTCCAATGAGGTTCTTTTAGGATCTTAACTGCATTTAATGTAACATGAATAAAGAAATATAAGAGAAATGGTGAAAATGTTTTGACAAAGACAATGATAGGGATTCACACAACTATTTAGCGAAGTACATTAAAAACTCACAATAATTAGGACAGTTTGGAATTACTAAAGCAAAAAAAAAAAAAAAGTAGCCCAATGAAACTGAATAGAAAAACCTAGAAAAAGTAATGTATCCATATCTATAGATATACACATGATTTTGTATTTAAAACCTCTGAAAAAGATAACTGTTCAATAAATAGCATTAAAATAATTGAACCATCATCCTATGTTAAAATACATCGCAAACAGACGAAAGATGTAAATTTTTTTTTAACTGCGGAATTAATATAAGGAAATACAGGTGAATATTCATATAATTCGGGAATGCAAGGCCCTTCTAAGTAGGGAGGTATCATAAAAGAAAAATTTGATACGTTTAAGCACATTAAAATGTTAGCAATCTGTTTAAAAAGAAAATTCATATCGAAAACAAAATTAAGATAAAAAATGACAAACTGGAGAAATGATCTACAATGTAATTTGACAAAGGCTTAATAGTTTGTATATACAAAGGGCTCTTATAACTTAGTTTTTAAAAATCTCCAGTATTAAAATAGACAAAGGACACTAATAGATAATTCACAAAAGGAAAAAGTGTCTCTGGGTGGAAGCATTATAAGTGTTATTTACCATTTACGCTTTCCTGAATTTTTCAAATTTCCTACAGTGATTATGCTTTATATTAGTAATTAAGAAAATAAAGAATGTTTACAATATGGCTGTAACTATAATAACAATAATATCCAAAATCATGCTAACATTGATATTTCCACTCTTGGGCTGCACCAAAATTAGGGATGTTTTCCCTTTCTAGAAAGAATCATACTTTAATTCTTCAATCACAATGAAAGAAATTTTCAGAACTATACAAGACAATCAGATAAAACTTTTCACTTCGTCTTTATGATCAAGTTACAAAGCCAAATAATATTTGGATAAACTATTCTGTTTTCAGCCTCCTAGGAAAGCTAAGAGTCAAGGCTGAGGAAGAAGCCCTGGACTTCAGAACCAGCAGGACTCAGATTTTACCTACATGCAAAACCTGAGCCAGGAGTTAAAAAAAAAAAAACAGGTGGTGATATTACCTTTCTCAAGATAAAAAATGTGAGCCTTTGAGAATTCCTTGTCTTCTCTTCTCTGTCTCATTTAGGAGACAGAGGAATGATTTTATCTTTAATGTATTTATAAGGAATATATCCAAAGTGCAAGCAAACAAGACTTCTTCTGAGCAAAGATACTTTAAACAGGAGATTTTCAAGTGCTAAATGTTCTTTTTCCTTAGTGCAGATACGCGGCCTAACTCTGAGAAGGCCAAAAAAGACTCTGGCAGGACTTCGTTCTCAACGATAAGCAATAGTCAAACTGCTAATTCCATCTGCCCCCCTCCAAAAAACGACAACGTGTTACATGATGATGCCAGAGATCTCAGGCTCCATTTAAGGAATTTTCCTGAGGGGCATTTATTTTCACAATATTAAAATGCTCTCTACTTCAAGTATTTCAGGGAACCAATTAGGATACTATATGCCAACTTTGATGACGATAACAAAGAAATAATACAGTCTTTAACATTATATTCTTAGAGATGTTGCTTCCAGAAATGTCTTCCTTTCTTACTAGTCAAAGCTCTGAATTCCATCCACTTCTATCTCCTCAGGGTCTTAGTTCCAAAAATTATCTCATCTTTCCAGAATTCCTTAAGAATCTCTTCCTGGGGCCGGGCGCGGTGGCTCAAGCCTGTAATCCCAGCACTTTGGGAGGCTGAGGCGGGTGGATCACGAGGTCAAGAGATCAAGACCATCCTGGTCAACATGGTGAAACCCCGTCTCTACTA